ACACCCCCACAGCCTGCCTACCTGAGCCCTGTGTTCCTACCACCTTACTGGATGCAGGCTCCTTGCTCCCGCCAGCCTGAGCCCTGTGCTCTCACCCAGCTACAACTTCCCTACTTGCTACCCAGATCCAGCGCTGCAGCAGGAACATGAGGAGGAGCAACTGGAGGCTGGGGAAGCTGACGAGGTCCCTCAGCGACTGCAGCAGTGGCAGCAGCAGCCATGCCCAGAAGCTGTGTGTGTTGGCCAAAGCTGGGGCTGTCCCGCACGTAAGGGTGGGAGCAAAGCGTGCAGACTGGGTGGGGTACAGTTAATAGGTGGGTGCCCGTGGGTCAGATGAAATCACATGGCACCCTAGTCCACAGGCTATAAATTTGGCTGCACCTGGTCTACCAAGTGCCACACTACTTTGTCTTCTGCCCAACTCTTCCACTCAGGTTTGCAACTTCCTCAGTTGAATCTGGGGCCTCTTTGCTGGACCAATTATTTATGTAAAAATATATATATCCCCATTTCATAGCAGTTCTTCAAACCAAGGGTTATTCCTCTTAATTAGTAATACCAAATTTTATCTTGAACAAGTAGCACAAGCAGCCTCTCTATGTGGCACACAGCAGCTTGGGCAGGAGCAGAGTGCAGAGTACCCGCCCAGGTAGAGGAAAGGGATGGGAATGGCACCTCGGGTGTGTTGGGATTAACCTTCTTGGCAGGCATGCCACAAGGTAAGACAAACCTGCCAGCAGTTAAGATAAACAAGGAATTGCACTGTTGACTTGCCTTCCCCCCTCGCTTGCCACCCTCCTCTCGACCATTCTCTTCCATATAAACTTCTTGCTTCCTTGGACATGCATTCTTTACCATCTCGTCCTCCTTCCCCACTCCTTCAGAATATGGTCCCCCCTACCTCCAATCCTCTTCGTACTCCAATGTTCCACTATATTCTTCCCTGTAGAAACAGCTTGTATCTGACTTGCAGAAGATCCCATTGACTTATCTGGAAAAAGATACAGCTGTGCTGCCTGCATGCCTGTATTTTAGTAACAGATTGACAAAAATGGGCTATGGTCTAGCGCAGAACTTCCTTAGTGGAACTGGCTGGTCATGTGATGTCAGCTTTTGCTTCCAGCTGTTTCTACAGGGAAGAATATAGTGGAACATTGGAGTACGAAGAGGATTGGAGGTAGGGGGACCATGGACATCCAAAAGAGAAAGAGTAAGTCAGTTTTATAAGAGCAGTACAGAATATTGCAGATGGACAGAAATGATTGACTTGTTATGCTATGGAAGCCTTCAGGATTCTTAAAAGCTAAAATAGTAGAAATCAATCAGGAAGAACAGCTGATTTGTCTGGTCTCAGATAAAATGGACAAGTGAAAAATAATGAACAGTGTGACCAGAAAGTGCAACACCATTTGTACACATTTTCCCCTCCAACTTTCTTTTTACTGCCAGCATCGCCTTAAGCTCAAGCCAAATGGCAGGAACAGCTCCATTCTTGACTGTCCCTATGCTGAGCCAAGACTCAAAGCCTTTCAAAAATATTCTGAATACCTTCACATTAACAATGGAACTAAGAAAAAATAGCTAGGAAAAACTCAAATTTAAACAAATCATGTCGGTCAGGGATTTTGAATCCAGCTTTGATGTGGCTGCAAAGTACCCAAAAGATTACCTGAATGAACAGTTAAGAGATGACCTGGTACTTTAAAATAAGTAGTTTCAAAAGTTTTGTTTGCCCTGGTTCAGATCTGCATGCTCTAAAATACCCCATTTGAACAATTAGTTAATTATAGTCCGTTTACAGTTTCATCATTTCCCATGCAAGGCAAGCTATTTTGTTCAGTTTAATTTCTCCATTGTGTTAGCACCTGTGGGAAGGTGTTTTTCCCCATCCAGGTACAGCCTTTAGAAGTCTAAATACTTTGTAAAGAACAGAAACTTCATAAGTCTTACCATTTTTGAGATTATACCTGACTGCTGTCATGGAGTTTTTCCTGAAACTGATTGATGCCATACCAGTATAAGAAAGAAAGTTCAGACCAAGACAGGCTATCTAGCGATTAGAAAGTCTAAAGCTAAATAACTCCAAGATTGTTGTCAAGCTTAGAAGATAGGGATTTGAGTGCCTAGGCTCTGAAAAAGTCTAGTTCATAAGCACTTATAACCAGGCTTAAGCCGATTTGGGATGGAAGAAAAGTACCTTTTTGTTTTCTTCCCTCTTCCCCGCCTCCCACATGCTGTAAAATCTTTTCAGATTATTTGTTGCAAACAACTAACTATAAGCAGATGTTCAAGCTAGAGGAAAAAGTAGTGTGGACTCTGAAAGAAGAAACAACATATATGCAGAGTTCAGTTCAATCTTCCTAAAGTACACGATTTATTGAAAGATTCAGAAAAGAATTCCTCTACTCAAATTCTGACAGCAGACAGAGACAAATTTGAAGCTCCTAGGCAGTAACTGAAGGTAAAGAACATACATTTTAAATAAATACACAAATTCATGGACTAACTCCCCTCCCCCAATATTCTATACACATGCACATGAATAGATAAATTTTAAGAAGTCTATGATCACATCTTCTTTAACATACCTGGCAGCAGTTTTAGCTTTATAACAAAACAGTTCATTCAAAATCATTAGGGATAAACCCTTTTTACCTGCACTGTTTTTAACTGCTGGGTCTGTAATACAGAAGGCTGAGCTGCAGTGTTTATCAGCTGACTTCCTGGTGTCAAAGCTGAAACACCAACAACAGGCTTCACTTCTGGCCTCCCTCCAATAGTAACTACTTTAATCTGCTGGCCTGGTACTTTAGAGTCTCCACTTTGAGCTTGGGATGTGGTCTTCTGTGCCTGGGGTAGTTGGTTGTGTGGTAATGCTAAAACAATTGGTTGGCCAGACTTTCCCAAAGTTGTTACAATTAGCTTCTGCCCATCCTGTTTAATACTTTGATTGCTAAGTTTAAGGTCAGAGGTCTTGTTCAGAATAATCTGATTGGCTGATATAGTCACTGGAGTCGAAGTACCAAGTTTATGGAGGCCACTTTGAAACGTAGGTTTTACTGTTGCATTGGTGTCAGTTTTTGTAATCGTAGTATTCACTCCAACATGGCTCGAGTGACTGCTGGGCACAGTAACTGGTTCTGCAGTGACCGCGGAAGTAGTTGTATTTGCCGAGTCACTGGTTGAGCTTATGTTCACAATTTCTTCCAGTTCTGTTTCCATGGGAACGGACTCTCCCATAGGTGAGGATACAATAACAGCCTCAATACTATCATCTTCCACGAGAGTTATACCAGTGTCCATTATTTCCTCAGGGAGCAAGCTGTTCATTTCTGCTGACACCACCTCCATATTAGAATTTCTGGCAGTAAGGCAAGGACCAGGCACTACAATTGTAATTAAAAAAGAAAAAGAAAAAGCTAAGTAAATCATGACTTAACTCCATGAAAACATACTACGTACAAAGTTTTGCAGAAATATATTACTAAAGAGGGAAATATGGATGCACTAGTCCCAGGGCACAAGGGAAGGGAAATGTTAGAAGTACACCTTCCATGTGGCATCCATCCTGCATTCCTTAATACATTTACCTGAATTTCCTTTCAATCCTAATTTATAATCAGACATCTTCAGCATCACTGCAATACAGCAACAGCTGTTTGGGCCAGAGAAAACCTGGAATTAAAATGAGAAGTTTCCAAAGAGCTGCTTTATGTAAATCCCCACTAGTGCTAAGAATTCATAGCACTGAATTTATTAATTTTGGTATTCCATCTACCATCATAAAAACTATTCAGAGATAAATTTTATCAACAAGTCATTCAAGAACCAAGTCAATAGTGCTACTTTTCCAAGCGAAAGATTATTGTGTTTATTATTCTAGGAGTACTGGAAAGCCCTGTTCACTAGTTTTAGGTTTAGAAAAGAAAGCCTGAAAGTATGACGTATGCAAAATACCCACTTCAGTTATGAAGTAAAAATCAGCAGGACAGCAGTGTGCAACGCTGCTTAGAAATAAAAGCAAAATTTGCAATGGATTCCATACATAGCTCTGTTTGAAAGATATGGTTTTCAGACACCTGTACTGTATCTCACATTGAAAAGACAACATCAACCAAGACATGGAGAACAGAAAATCAGAAGGTAAAGCTTTCCCTATGCTATCAGTTTGCTGTCTTCTCACCAAGGTGGACAAGCCAACTTCAATACCCTCTTCACTTTTTTGTATTAGCGTTAGCACTCCAATGTCAGTGCAACTACAGTAAAATTCTGTCTTCCCAAACCTGCTTGCAAGTAGCTGGAGAAAAGTACAGAAATGCCAATTTTACAGCATTCCTATTCATAATTCATGGCCTACCATTTTGAATGGTTTGAAATGCAAAGACTGCATACATTACAAATATCAGCATGTCTAAATTTGCAACATGTCATGATAAGCAGCCAGACCAGAGTAGTTGCACTACACCACAAAATAAAGGAGCTGGAGAAATAAACGCGGTTTAGCTCACTAATTTAAGCAGCTGCTGATTAAAGCAATTTACAGACACAGCCGATTCAATCAATAACACTTTCAGTTTCAATTTTTTTGTTTACTCACCCTTATACCAAGAAGCAGCAGGCAACAAAACCTGCTCAACCCAGATACTAATGAAGGGCCATTTAAAAGACATTTAAAAGACAGACTCTTGGTATGACTTTAAACCAGTGATTCTCAGCTAGGGTGCCTCAGTCAGATTTGAAATACCAATCCACAGTGTACATACATTCTGACCTGTTGTGGTCCTTGAGTCCCATGCAACAGAAAAAATGCACTATTATTTTTCCATAGTAAAAATGCAAACAGAAACTAAGAGCGGCCATTTTCTGAAGTGTGCCTTGGGTCTAAAGATATTAAGAACCATTGTTTTAAGCCATATTAGTTTCAATTTCTATCCTGAACATGACCGGGCATTTTGCATATTAGCAATATCTAGCATGAAAGGTTGGTTTTTTATTATTTTTAATGTTTTGGCAAAGAACAAATTACTATACCATAACTATCATTCCCTATTCACGGAGAAAATTATTTCTGTAACACCAGCAAATTTTCATTTGCCATCACAAACAAACAATAAGCTTGTTTTGCACAGTAGACTTTCTACACACTTTTTAGCTTATAGTTTAAGTTAATGCTTAGACTGGCCTCAGAATTCAAAGAGCTCTTCTGTAATTTAAGCCCTGTTGATTCCCAAAGATAGTAACAAAAGATTGTACAGACTACTGGTCGAAGTACCAGCTGCACGTTTCAGTTACTAAGTTCTGAACCTCTTGGACCTTTACTAAAATGTCTTAAATGTTCTTTCCAAAAATATACGTTTACCCTTTTTGCTTTAAGAAGTCCAATTAGTGCAGCAACAAGTATTCCAGCATTGGAAAAAAGGCAAGTTAAATGGTTAAAGTTGCATTAAACAGGAAACAAGACCTAACAGCTGCTTAAAATGACAAACTATTTGCAACCCAATTGATCTAGCAGCTACTGCCAAGTTATATGGCTGCATTGGCTCTTTCCTATGTAGGCTTTGTTTTTAATAAGTAAATGTTCTCCAACAGATTTAAATTAAATACAGCATCTTAATCACTTGGCAACTGGTAGGCTCCACGCTCACTGAGCTTTCCCCAGTTTATTAAACAACAACCCTGGTTACACCATTACCTCAAGTTCCTGTTGAGGTAACAAGTTATGAGTGTGCTGCTTTGCATACTTTAGAATACATAAATCAAGGGCCTGACCAATATACCGTATACATTCAAACCTCTCATTCATCTAAAACAGTGGTTCTCAACCCTTTTGGACTCAAAGCACCTGCTCAATGGATTCAAGGAGTCCTCTATAACTTTTGTAAATTGAGCAGCACCCAATTCCAAAAACTAATTTATATATTACAGTGCTTACTGTCTGACATGGGGGTTGGGCAGCAGAAGTGGAGGATTATCCAGGCTGGGACATGTCTGAGCCTGGCTTATCTCGTGCCTCATGGCACTCTTCAAAAGATCTGGTGGTAACCCCAAGTTGCCCTAGCCACCCTGGTTGAGAGTCACACATCTAAAAGAAGTTCTGTTCATCAAAGCAGTTTTGCTTCTATAGAATCAGGCTCCAGATTTTTCAGCAGAAACAGAGCAACATGAATGTATCAAGAGGCTTATTATGAACCATTGTGGCAAATACACAAGAACCTGCAACTCTATTAGACTTGTATTCAGTTTTTATTATTCTTTCAGAGATTTTATTTTGTCATGCTCTAAGCGCCAGCCAAAAACCTGCACTGACATCACAAATAAATTATATCACCCTTATTTCTTACTCCTTACAGGTAAAATTATAATGACCTTTCCTAATGAGGGTATGGTTGGATTGTATAACTTGATATGATCCAAGGGCATGCTCGCAGGCAGCTCACTCACGAGCAAACAGTTTAAGGGGCTAAGTTTCTCAGATATCTCTGGCAAAAATACTTCCCTTCGAAAGCTTTACTTCCAAGTGATGACAGCATAGCCTGCTGTTATGCCACCCCCAGGAACTACTGTAAGACAAAACAGTTTTACTTATAAGGACTCATTAAGTAATACAGTAGCACCATTGCTTAAACAGTCACTTAATTAACTGGATACAAAACCTGAAGAAGAGAGAGGTTAAAAAGAAAGCCTGGCAACAACTTGTACACTGAAAGCACTACTTGTCATATGCTGACCAAATCATCTCATTAATTTCTACTTCCTTCCCATCTATCTGTTCTTTTATCTTCATAGATTTAGTTTCATAGATATTGGGGGCTAGAAGGGACCTCATCAGATCATCGGATCTAGCCCCCCCTGCACTTGGGCAGGAAAGACTGCTGGGGTCATCTGACCCCAGCAAGGTGCAGGTCGAGGTGTTTTTTAAAGCCCTCCAGGGTACGTGATTGTACCGTTTCTGGGGAGAGTCTGTTCCAGACCCTAGGCACTCAAATCGTAAAGAAGTTGCTTCAGATTGGACATAAGGAGAAATCTTCAAATAGTTTGTGTCCATTGTTTCTAGTGTTCCCCTGGGGTGCCTTGGTGAAAAAATGCTCCCTCAGGCCCTGATGTATGCCCCTAATATATTTATAGACTGCCACCAAGTCCCCTCTAAGTCTTCTTTTCTCCAGGCTGAACAGTCCCAAGTCTTTCAGCCTCTCCTCATACGACCTGATCTCCAGACCTTTAATCATGCATGTGGCCCTCCTTTAGACTCTCTCAAGCTTTTCTACATCCTTCCTAAAGTGCAGCACCCAAAACTGGACACAGTACTCCAGTTGCAGTCCCACCAAGACCAAGTAGAGTGGGAGGATGACATCCTTAGTCTTGCCTGACATGCATCAGCAGATGCATGTCAGCGTTGTGTTCACTCTGCCATCTACAGCATCGCATTGGTGGCTCATGTTCATTTTGTGGTCTATTATGATTCCCAGGTCTCTTTCACTTGTGGTGCTGGCAAGCGTAGCACTGCCAGGTCTGTAAATGTTGCAGATTATTTCTCCTCAGACGAAGCACTTTACATTTCTCTATGTTAAACATCATCAGGTTTTGATCCATCCACCTTACAATCCTGTCCAGGTCAGCCTGTATCTCCAGCCTGTCATCAAGCGTGACCGCACTCCCCCATAATTTGGTGTTGTTCACAAACTTTGCCAATACATTTTTAACACCCGAATCCAAATAATTGATGAACATGTTGAAAAGCACTGGTCCGAATACTGAACCTTAAGGGATGCCACTGGCCACCTTCCTCCATGCTGACTCAGTTCCGTCAATCAGTACTCCAATCAGGTTTTGATCCATCCACCTTACAATCCTGTCCAGGTCAGCCTGTATCTCCAGCCTGTCATCAAGCGTGACCGCACTCCCCCATAATTTGGTGTTGTTCACAAACTTTGCCAATACATTTTTAACACCCGAATCCAAATAATTGATGAACATGTTGAAAAGCACTGGTCCGAATACTGAACCTTAAGGGATGCCACTGGCCACCTTCCTCCATGCTGACTCAGTTCCGTCAATCAGTACTCCAAGTCCTACCTTGGAGCCAGTTACCTATTAGACTGTAACCTGTGGAGCAAGGACCATGAACAGGGACATCCTGGTCTATGAACAGGGCTCTTTGGCACCATCTGAAGTAGGGAGGACTGATTTAAATGAATAAGTTAAGGGTTTAAATACATGAGGATAAAACTCATTTAAATAACTGACTTCAACCTTGTTACATGTTCGCACTTTGCTATTTTTTCTAAAGAAAGGTCAGTTCTCATTGGTTAGCACAACATGGTACTTTGTGCAAGCCAGAAAGATATACTTTATCTACATACATGTGCTTAAACAATTACTCACATACTTATCTATCTACATATCATTCTTTCAACATAATCCCCCAAATGACTGAGAGATTCCCTTGTGACCAGTAGAACTGCTACCTCATGACAAGTGAAATGAAACAGATTTGCCAGATCCAACATTAGGGATCTACCAGCTGTTGTAAGTTGGGGGGGGGGGGGGGGGGGGGGGGGAAAACTTCCTTCAGTAAAGTGTACCCAAACGAACACTTGTGGGAGGGGGGGGGGGGGGGGGCGCGGGGGGAGGGAAAACTTACTTCAGTACAGTGCTACCAAAAGTACTATTTTTGTGTCCCTAAAGAACAGTAAAAAAAAATTAAAAAGCAGCACTTAAAATGTATTGGCTTGAAACCTCTCAAAATGAATCTTTAAAACTCTTTCCTAAATGGGTCATAGCATGGTCATAACCCCTCAAGAAGGAAAATACACAAAGATGGTTTGGAGACCGCATCTGCCCTTCATGATGAAAGCATTATAATTCTTCTAGCTATTACATTGCTAGCCATAAGCCGTAAGACACTATGATAAAAGGTTAATTCTAAAAATAACCCTCTTGCAGGATGGGGAAAACAAGATCAAAATTTTGCAGCCACCAAGAGAAATAGAAAATGAGCTGCTCACAATACCAGCAACAATTCAAGTATCTGTGCATGTTGCTTGTACCACCATTCTTCAATGAAGGCAGCAGGAGACTCCGTGATGTCTCGGGATCAGGCCCTCATCAATTTGAAAAAACAGAAAGAAAATCAACAATGACTAACCATGGTTTCCCTCCCAGCCTTTGTTTTTTGGATTGGTTGTGAATGTTACAACAGTTAACTGTTCCCTGGAAGTCTAAATAGCTTCTTTGTGCTTACTTATAAACATGAACTCAAATATTTTAAAGAAAGACCTAGAATAGCACAGCACTCTCCTTACAGCTGTACAGTCAGACAACCCCATTCTTTCTCTGATTGAATGTGTTCTCCAAAACTTCTCTTGAAGCTGTAATGTGAAGGAGTAAGTAATCCAATGTTTATTGAGCCAGAAAGAGTATACAAGTAGAAGCTGTACTGCATCCTACTGGTTCAGAAATTTACTTTGCAAGAGGTTTACACTGGCCCCTAAGAATGTCTGCATCTTTTAACCACTGACTGTGTGATGTAAAAGACACCATCCACATTTCACAAGGAACCTAGTCACCTAAAACAGGACTCTAGATTCCAGGCCAGGGCCAGACACCTAGCTTTTAGGTGCCCAAGTCCTTTATAGGATCTAACTCTTAATCGATTGTCTCAACTGTTAGTCTCTGGTGCAACCCCAGTGCAGAAGTCTACAAAGGCAACTATGGTAGGATATTTTCTTTACCAAGAAGAGTTACCTCATGCACAAGAATATCCTGAAGGAACAGGATACAGTAACATTTTATATGAATTCATGTCCTACTTTTGTTGGGATGACATACCAAACACAAACACGAAAATGGTAGAGGTGCACCAACATATTAGTGCTATGCCGGATTGGCACCATGGCTATTGGCTTTTTTTTGGACTAGTGTAGCTGATAATGTACTGATAAATATGCCTTCTGACCAGGGCCTCTGGATGCTGCATGTGTGCAGCTGCAGCATGCACATGGCCATGAGTACATCCGGGCAGAGTGGAGAGCAGCACCCTGCAGGGTAGTCTCTGAAGGGGAAGAGGTATGGGGGAGGGAAGCGGTGTGAGGGGAGCAGATTGGGGCCCCCATGGTGAGGGAGGGAGTGGGGCAACAGCTGGGGCTACTACCCAACCAGGGCAGTGAATGGGATCCCTGGGGCCAGGGTGGGGAGCGGGACAGTACCATGGGCGGCTCATTCTGGGGATATGGGGGATGGGGTGGGGAGGAGAAGAGAGGCAGCTCCCCATTGCTGCATGCACCCCCCCCACCCCAAGGAGGCATGGAGGAGCATGTGCCCTCCCAGATTTGTGCGCAGGATGGAGGCAGGCTGCTTGCTCTGGGTTGGAGGCTTTCTGTCCTGCTGCCTTTGTCCCAGGAGCCGTATGTTGGCCATTTGCCTCCTGCCTGCCCGGCAGCAGTGAGGGCAGCAAGTTGTACCTCCTGCCACTGGGTGAGCAGGGGCACAGTGTGGCCACTGCATGGTTCCCAGGGCAAAGGCAGCAGGGAAGAAAGCCCCGAGCCCACAGTGGGCAGCCCACCTCCAGCCTCAACCCTGCTCCTAAAAGCACCCCTGCACTTAAAAACGGTGGCTGCAGCACTTGAACTAAAGCTCATTTGATGAGCTTTAGTTCAAGTGCCCCCACCACCATTTTTAAGCACCAGGACACTGATCCCCTGGATGAGCAACCCACAGCTCCGTCCCACTCCTTGCCCCAGGGTCCCAATTCACCACCACGACTGGGCAGCACCTCCAACCCCAAATCCAGCCCAGCCCCACTCCTTCCTTTCACCGTGGTGACCCTGATCTGCTCCCCCATGCCCCTCCCCCCCCTCACACCCCTACCCCTCCACAGACTTACCCGCAGGGAGCTGCTCTCCACACTGCCCAGCTATGCTCCTGTAAATGAGCTATCGGATCGGTATCAGCCAAAGAAATCTCTATCCATGAACCCCCTCCAAAAATGGCATTCTTTAGTATACAAAGTTTTAAAGAATAGTCATGAAGTTTATATTGCCACGTCCTGAGAGGATACAGAAGTAGAAAGATCCTGAACTTCTAAAAGCAAATCTGCAAAGACAGTTTTCTGGTACCTTTTTATGTCCAGAGGTCTAAATGGCAGGCTTTTTTCTGGGTTTGGGCACTTTATATGAGAAATGTAACTTGAATGTACCCTTGAAGAATAAATTGAAAACTCAAGAACTATTAAGTTATGAAAGATATGCTAAGGAAGTAGAAACCAGTCTGAAAGAAGAAAAAAATTATACCTAGACCACTTAAATGCTGCTTTTTTAATACTTATAAAACAAGGTTAAGGGTTCCAGTGACCTTTCATCAGAAACCTATAAAGGAAAAAAAAAAAAAAACCACCTCACCTGAAAATAAATCTGGACAGGAAACATTTCCCTATGCCATGAGACCCTGAGATTTAAAACATTTTCCTGTTCAGCTTCCTGATAAAAAACAGACTTTTCTAGGTTTCTAACACATAACCCCACCCTGGAACAGCCACGAACTGAAAAATCAGGGTAGGCCAAGACCTCGCCCTCAAATAAATGCCCTAAACTGCTGGTCATTTATACCGTAAGGGATGAGCAAGCTTCTATTGAACCATAGATCTTTCTTGCTAAGACAGTGACACGTGTTCCCTCAAAAAGCATTGGGGGGGGGGGGGGGGGGGGGGGACAAAAAAAAATTAGCGTGGGGGGGGGGGGGGGAGGAGATGGACTAATCAATACTTATGCCCAAATTAAAAAAAGTTTCATTGGAGAATTCCCAAGAAATTTCACCTATTAAAGTAGGGTTCAAGGGTTAAAAAGTCAATGAATATATGTACAGAAAACATAATGAAAGAAGAGATGATCTGAAAGACAGCTGCCCTTGGATGTCATGACCTGCTTCTCTAAAATACATAAGGCGAGAAAAATAGAATGAAGTCATTTAGGTGTCTCACGTTATGAAGTGTTATCAGACCTACAGGAGAAAAGCACCAACATTTTGGATTTGAGGATTACATTAACCGTTACTAAATCAACATTTTTATTTAAAACAATCTGAGAAAAAGCACATTTATAGAATTATTAGAGAGCACCAGAAATAGGAACCCAAGGCAAGTTATAGTTCTGTTTCTATTACATGGACCTAGGGACCAAAAAGTCCATCTCCACTTGAAAGACTTTTCAACTATTTTAATCATCCTTAATTAGAGCTAAGACAAGCTGATAAAAGTAAGGTAACATCTGCCAATGATTACACTGTCCTAATTACAGACAGCTGACTCCTTGGGACATGGCTTGATTTTGAACAAGCTATTACAACTGAACATTACATGTAGCGTGAAAGTTAAAAAAAAAAAAAAGAAAGTCCCTCACCTTCAGGCTTACAAAATCTACTCACATGGAACAAGTGGAAAGCATTGCCTGACAAGTATGGGAACCTGAGAACTCCTCCAGAATCTAAACTTAAAAAAAAAAAACCCAACAAAACTCTGAGCTTCTAGCTCTTCCATACATATTGGGCAATCTCCTTTCATAGTTGCCTTTCTGAACCTACAGAAAGAAATCAAGGCTTTTGCTGCTCAATGTTTAGTTATGTAGCCACAGAGCAACATAAAACAAGATCAGGCAATTTCCCTACTGAGGTTCAGAACCGGACAGGGCAGCTGTGACTGTCAAGAATGATGCCAGTTTCATTCCACTGCTACTGCTTTTTGGGAAAGTTGTTTCTGCTGCTGCTGTTCACAGGCACTTTATTTCTAGGGAAGGAGCATAAAAAAAATAAAACAAAACAAATTAAAATTGGGGCAGTAACAGAATCTTGTCTCCATGAAGCTGAGACAGAGGGCTAGGAGCTTCTGAGGGAGAACCAAAGAATGAGGAAGAGTGCAGTAAGGACACAGGAACAGTACTGAGGCAGAAATTTCATTTTACTCTCCTCCCACAAACCCCTGCCCTGCCCCTCATGTGCCAATAGAAATGGCAGAGACCCATGGACGATTTGTAAATTTTTCTGCAGCCTTAGTGTAACGGTTGTATATGTCCATCTAAAACAACGTGGCACATCAATAAACTAAAATGACACACAGACAGGACATACCAAGATTACAGGTAAAGTCATGTTTATAGCATCCTGGTTGGCCATATTTTTAAGGGTGTTAATATGAAATATTCTTCATGAATAGCTAAATATACAGAACTTTTTAAAGCTCTGAATTTGAATATAGCTTGTGCCAGATGATCAAATACCTTTTGGCATTTCTTCTATCTGCTTTGTTGTGGGATAAAACTTTAACCTTGCACACTATCAGGGAAGTTTTACAACTATCCTATGAATAGTCTCTAACTGGTTTTTTTCCATGTCAAAAAAAATTCTAACATAAAAGTCAAGTCCCAGGATGCTAATGAACAAATTAGATAAGATGCGCACACATCAGACAAAATGGTTCACATGCAAATCAAGACAGATCTAAAACACCCGTGTATCAACAAAAAAGGGAAGCAAGAAAATATCTTCTAAACGCAAATACAAGTTACCTCTTTTTTCCCTCATCCATTTTTCTACAGTCTACTTTTGTCAAACGGCTACAGTACATTATACAACTGTCAAAAGTCCTACAAAATGCACTAAGCTAACAGTTTCGTACAAAAATAGCATCCTGTAATACATGGTTTTTTGTTTTTTGTTTTTTTCTTCAAAAGAGCGACACTGACAGGGTGACCTACTGCCACCCACATAAATGTTAAAAAAAATACCCAGTTATGATATCAAACAATGAAGGAGGTTAAGAAGAAACAATAACTTACATATGGCAAATGCAGAGACATGCATTAAATGATATTTTAAAAGACAAAAACCTTGAATTATGGCGAACCAATGAACTGAGTCAACTTAGGTCACCTTCCCTTTCAAATGAAAATATAGCCACATTGTGGTTGCTGATTATCCTATACCAGCTAAATGCCCATAATTAGGGACCTACAGAATTCATGGCAGAAGTGGGGTGCACTGTGGCTCCTTTAATCTTGCAGGTTCACCCACACCCCTGCTCCCCTCTGCTGATTGGTGGAGGGGCCCTGCTTGCAGCTTGCTCATGATTAGCAGGCAGGTGAAAACTATGGTTTTAAATAAGGTGCCGTTTTTGCCTCCTGTCACTGATTGGTTGAGGGGCCTCGAATGGCCCTGATGTTTGCTCCTGACAGAACCACAATTAAACCTGTGGTTTTAGCTTCCCCGCTGATCACAAGGGAATGGTGGGGTCCCCCGCTAAATCATCAGCAAGGAGGGGAGGGGGCAACAGGCGAGGTACATGCAGGGGAACGTGCAAGATTAAAGGAACTGCCATGCACTCTACTACTGCCATGAATTTGTAGGTCCCTACCCATAAGAGGATGTAATCAATGAAACATATACAAGCTGTGATTATTCAGCATTAAGTTATTTACACTGCAGCATCCTCAACTGCAAAAAGATTTATGGACAGGTGGTACAACAAAAATACATCTCAGTATTAAAATGGATATTTGTAGCATCTACACGAGGTGCTAGAAGCACAGCAGACTAATTCTACTGCCCACTAGCACATCCTGGCGAAAGCCGTGCTTGTGCTAATGCATAACAGAATTAATCTACTGCACATTAGCATCACAAAAGGTGTGCGCTGGTGCTACTGCTAATTATGGTGCATTTAGTACCTGTTATTACAGGTACTAAACTTAATGTGCTGTAACTACAGCGCATTAATGCACATGTAGACATGCCCACTGGAGTACCATTTTAGTTAACAACATTAAGAACTGCCTCATACTCATGAAGCTCTATACAAATTTTAAGCATGTATACATTAATCTTTATATACAGGCAACCCCCACTTACCGCCATTTCACTTGGTGCTATTTTGCTATAGTGCTCGTTTTAAATTGATACCCGATTCCACTTAACGCTCGGCAAGTTTTGTTATAATGCTAGTGGGCGTCTGACAGCTGGTACTGAAACTGACACTAATCCTGGCAGCCTTGATTTTGGTGGCTTTAGAAAGTGGAAAGTGAAAATGAAAGTTTGTTTCGCTCGGTTTCACTTAACGCTTGGTTTTCAGGAACTAATTAAGAGCGCCAAGTAGGGGTTGCCTGTAATATCATCGTATAAACTCCTGTTTAGCAAGCTAGTTGATCCTAATACAAAGTTCTAAAAATCCAACCCTAAATCTTTAAAAGGATCACAGTGGTGTTGTTCCCTGGCCTATCATGGATACAAGAAGCAAGGCTTCTTTGGTAATGTCTTTTTTCTCCTAACTAAATATGGGCCCAATATATACATTAGACAAGCTTTCAGGCACAAAGTGCCTGTCCTCAGGTCTGGGAAGAAAACAGATACAGCCTGAACTAAATGCCAGGTAAAATAGTGACTTGTTTAACTGTTATATAAATGAAAATAGTCACTTAAAGAGGGAAAGCAAGCTGTGGAGCAAAGAGAGGTTATCACAAATAGGCACAAAACAAGTAAAAGGCTGTTGAAATAGATAAGCCACTCCATCTCTGGCCCCACAGTCCTTGTACTCAAGGGAACCCTAAACAAGACAGACCTGGAAACAAAAGATTCATATAGCTTCACTGGACACCAGAAACTAGGGTCTAAACACAGAAGTTTTAGGGCTCATTACAATTTACCTGCTCCCTTGCTGAACTCTCTGTACCTTATGTAGATTATGTACATAATGCATTTAAGCAGAAGTCAGTTTTATCTGATATTTAGCTTAGGCTGCATCTGCTACTTCTCTAGACATGAACCATGCAATCAAGAATGTAATCAACATCCCACACCCCCCCCCCCCCCCCCCCCCAAACTATATAGCTGGTCCAATAAAAGGTATTTCCAGACAAAAAAAATTGATATTCATAGCTTTTGGCTGATGAATGGCATGGCATGTATAGCCCAGACAAGCAGAAGCAAATTGTCAATGGATGACTCGGAGGCAACTGTTACTGTTAAGTAACAGCTTGTAATTGAGTTAGCAAAAAATTAAGAAGTTAATCTCTCCCAAGCATAGGCAAGCACATTTGTTTAAATATCCATTTTATGGGTTGTTTTTTTTTCTTTCAAATAATTGGTTTTAGGCTGCAGAACCGATTTAACTTTAAAATCCTAAATCTCTGCCACGTATTATGCAACCTTAATTATTATAGCTTGTAGAAAGGAACTGGACATACACACTTAGCCTACTTGCAGATGTTAAAAACAAACAAAAACAACACCACACAAAACCTGAGCTTTACCATAAGCAGCAGCACATTACTTCAACCTGGCTCTCCAGCATCTGTAAAGATCAGGTGCTTCAGCAGGGCTTATTGGCACTTTTAGCTAAAGCTGATTCAATCAGCTATTAGGTAAAAGCGCCAAAAAAACCCTGCATTGGCACTTGCTCTGAGATTATGCTTTACCAGAGGCAATCAGCATGTCACAAAATAGCAAAAGGATTGATTTACAAAGAAGGAAAGAACTGCACATGGCAAGTTGACCATATAGTTTGGAGGCAAAGTACAGAAAAAAGGATACAATCTCTCACCCTCTCATTTGACTACAATACAGCCCTTCAGAGAGTCTTGTCTGATTTTCCAGGGCTCAGGGTTCTTGCCTAGCTGGACACACGGATTTCTTGAAGGTGTGGGAAAATCCCAAGCCAGATAGCTCCCAAATACCTTCAAGCAAACCTGTCCCCTCCCTCACCAACACTGTTCTATTTGCGACCGAGTCTAGATTCCCCAGGAAGAAAAATTTCTGAAGGGCTCTTAGATTCCCCACAGTGAATTGCATATCTCCCAATGTTCTTTTGAGGCAGATGACACCTACAATATTTTGGGTGCCTATCCCAACAAAAGCTCTCTCTGCCATGTGTTTGGGAGCGATAATTGTTCTTGTCCTTCTAAAGGAACTGACCAGTGATACTTAATAGTTCCATCTATAACTTTGGATGAAGATGTCTCAAAATTGTAGAGCTACATAGATAGAACACCATCCAGTGATACAAATGGACACTACTTAACTTTGGCTTTTGAATGAGACCAAACACAAGGTTAGTCAACCCAACCTTGGAGCAGACCTCTCTGCAAGGCAGACTGAGCCTCAATATCATCCCTGCTTTTGGAGAAGGTTGGCAACTATATCAATATATATATATAACAATTTTTAGCAAAAACAGAACACTAACTACTCTTAATCTATTAATTTGGGGAGTATTACACATTAGAATTTAATAAATGGAAGTATCCTTCATATAATTAATGAGACCCTAAATACCATATTTACCCGAATCCAAAACAATTCTGAATTTAGGATGATTCCCCAATAATTAGATTTTAGACAGAAGATTTATAGAGGTGTACCAATATATTGCTGGCATACTGGATCAGCACCAATAAAAGGAAAATTAACATCACTGGCAATCAATTTTTTTTAGCTGGTGTAGCCAATAACGTCACCGATAAGTGGCTGGACTGGCACTACCAAAGGCCAGATGATGTGGCTCCATGGATCCAATTCTTTAAGATCCGCAGCTACCCTTTGCTTTCATACTATTTATTTGGTTTCATTTTCTATGTCCATGAAGAGATGTAGGCACTAGCACCATAGAATGCTACAACAAGCAGCTGAATTAACAAAATGTGAATTTATCTGCTCATGATTACAGTATACCAAAATCTATTTCTTATGGACTTAGAAGTGGCCAGAATTTGGAGAACTATGTAAGCAAAACTGTAAATGTCTTGTGTTTGTGAACACTAACTCAACAGTCACCTCCGATTTATTTTTAACATTAACCTTGCATGACTTGCAGGGCCTCCCCCCCTTAAACATACATCAGTTCAAGGACAAAGTTAGGGTGGTTTATGGGAAAGTTGGTTAGTAACTGTGGCGTATAGAAGCCAAATTAAGATTTTGCTTTCTAAAAGTGAGTTGATTAGTTGCTGCGAAATGGGTAAGACAGACCTTACAGTGGGCAGGGCTCTTGGGTTTCTGTGGGTATTGGTAGCTGTTGACAAAAACAGCTTTAATACAATATAGCATTTTGGCACTGGAATAAGTTTTGGATAAAATGCAGGGCAACTTTGCATAGCCATGGAATATGGTCAAGAGGATTAAAAGCTTAAGAGTTGCTGTCATGGGGGCTGGGGTGGCGCAGGCACTAAGGTGCACAATTGATAGCCCAGAGGTCACAAGTTTGAGGCCACAGCAGAAGCACTCACAGAGCAGCCTGTCTGATTCCAACAAATCCACGAATTCTGCTAAATATCTTGTCACAAGAACAAGGAAAAGAAGTCACTGTCATGACCAATTAGTGAAACAAAGCACTTCCAAATGACTAGTGGCAAGTCTATTACATTCATCAGCCCAAGATTAAGATCTCAGACTAGAGGGAAACAGTCTGTAGACCTTTCAGAACATTTTGATGGCAGAAAGACAGAAGCCAGAAGAACTATTACTATCAGCATATCATGTCAGGGAGACGTGTGTGTGTGTGTCAAGGATAGGTCAAGAGATGTTAGGTAGAACAGCAAGCTCAGAACAGATCAATTTATTTATTCATGAGATTTATATGCTGCCCATCACAAAAAGTTCATGCTAGCTTATAATGAAAAGAAAACAACTTATAAAAAAGCAGTTGAGTTATGAAAGAAGACAAGATACAAAACAAGAACTCCCCAAACAATACCCCAGCTTAACTTTGCCGCTAAATGCCTGCCTAAGAGTCTCAGCACTTCGAGAAGATGTGCAACTTCAGGTTCTGGCAAGCCAAAACGGTGGGAGAGTTTCAGAGAAAGGGAGCTACTACCAAGACTGACCTCCCACTTAGTTTTGCCAAACAAACTTGGTGCATAGACGGAACTTGCAGGAGCTGACATTAAGTGATCTTTCACACACAGAACAAGGAAACTAATTATTTTGTGGCACCTAAAGGGAAAACCTTTGCCACTAAAGGGGAGGCAGTGTAACCTAATGGACAGATCACTGAACCAGGACTTCCGAGACCTGGGTTCTACTGCTAAGTCTGCCACTGGCCTCTCTTCATCCCAGTTTCTTCATCTGAAACTAGATAACAATATATTGATAATGAGTAGATCAAATGCTTTGTGATCTACTGGGGAAAACTGCTAAGTAGAAACTAGATAATATCATTAAAAGCTACTCTCTCATGGCATATGATGAAAGAACTATTCCAGGTCTTATTATCCAGCTGACGTTGTGCAATTCCAGACTGAGATGCATGGACAAGAAGGCATTCTTGAGACAGCAGGTTTCAGTAGCAGAAACCAAGATTCCAACGACATCCAAGAGAATTGTGGTCTTGTACTGCCTGGCTCACACTTCAAACATTATAGTCAACCTTTCTGGTCACCAGCAGAATCAAACAGAACTTTCTCTGTTCTACATTTGTGAACTTGGTCTATATTTATAACTGCTCTGAAACAGAACCAAGATCACTTCATACTATTCTTTGTTATGAGCAGGTCTAAGAAAGGACAGTGCCACTACCTGAATAGCAAATTCACTGCTGTCCGATGCAAGCACTACTTGCATCGTCCCTGCAGGCTGTAACTTAAGACAACTCTTAGCACCAATACAGTTCTCTCTCTAGAAGGTTCATTTCTCAGAGCAAAAATTCTTATGGCTCAAGAGACCTGCATGGCAGCTGGAGCTTTGATAGGAAATCCCAGTCTGTTAAGCACTGACTGTAGCAGTCCTATGGATCATGCTTATCTTACCTGGCTTTGAAGCTACATACAGCGCATGGTGTTCTCAAAGCATTGGTGCCCTCCTAAGGCTGAAAACAGACATTGTCCTTGGAGTGTGATCAGCTGTGCTGCAATGTGTTGTTGCACAACTGATAAACTTCAATACACCTACAGACATCCTACAGGGTTATTGCTTTGCAAGGTCAGGCCGCCGCCACTCCCAGGGATTTGGGGGCCTGATCCTGTGGGACAATGGTCCCAGACCCTACTTGCAGACATGAGCCCCATGTCAAGGCAAAGCACCTTGGGCCACTGACTCTCAGGATCAGGGCCCTGAAGCTCCTGCCTAGGGTGGCTGAAGAGTCTGGGCAGCTGCAGGCTACCTGCACTCTCCCACCATAAGTGAACAGATGTTGGCCACAAAATGGTGGCATGAATTATGACTAGTCATTGCCATGGTAAAATTTAGGCACTGTGGAGTAACAAAGGGCTAAGATAGCCCTTTGCTTGAATGTTGTGCAGCCATAAAAGTTTGTTTGCAGCTTAATGCCTCCTTGGTGAGGAAGGCATGAATGGTCTGTCCGTCTCTTGGTCCAAGCCCCAAGTGCTATGTAGGGCTTTACGAAAGCCAACTGGGGAACAGAACTCCTCCTAGGCAGCGAAATGGTAACATAGAAGGAACACCCTGCTTTGAGCTTGAAGTTTGCAGACAGAAGTGCAGCTCCGTACTGTAACGGAGAACACTTAGCTGTAACGCAGAACGCTTTTGGCAATCTCCTGGAACAAACAGAAGTTCATTGTTGGTTGCAGCAGGAAGGGGAATCTAGCTGCTGGCAAGGAGCCTACAGCTGGTTTCCCCTAGCAATGGCCCCTCCTCTCTCTCAGCCTGTCCCTGGTTCAGAATGGGAGGGGGAAAAGGAAGCAGAGGAAGCTGGTTCTAGGGGTTCCCCAGCCAGTGCTGGAGAGTGGGGTGGATGTATTTTAGCACACCCCCCCAACCTCACCTCCGATACACCAGCCCCACCCTCCAGCAGGGGCTGAAAAACCCCCAAATCAAACTCCCTCTGCTCCCTTCCTCCCCCCAATTCTGAAACAGCTCAAGGCTGGCAAGCAGCCCAGGCAGAAGTTACAGAAGAGGCAATTTTGAAATGCCTTCATCTGATCCCTCATGCAACAGGGGGTCAGATTTCACCCAATCAGCCATTTCTGAAGTTGCCTGCAGTCATGCACTTGTGTTTGGTCATGACTATAAAAACTGCTTTCTGTGGCAAGCGGGGCAAAAATTGTCACTTCTGTCTGGGCCCTCTAGTTTTCAAATCAGCCAATTTCTAGCAAGTGTGCAATTAACTCATTTTCTCCTCCTCTGGCCACAGGAAAGAAAAGGCACCCTCCTCCATCCTTTCATCTGCTTTAGGTCCTCCTAAACTATTTTAGTGAGAAGGGGAAATACACTTTGCTTTTTTTATTGGTCTCAATACCTAACTTCATAGCCAGCCTTTGCTACAGCTCAAGTTTTCATTTTTATGTCTGGTGAGGAAACTGACAGGCTATTCCTCGGAATCTTCAAAGTTGTGAAACCAACCAGAGTTTGGCCAGCATAGCCCCAAGCAGCAGCCCAGTCAACTCATTGAAGCAGGGAGAAGCTGAAAGCCAGCATGGCTTTAATTTACATTCATTATACTGAAAACAGGAAAACAAGCTCTTTAAACGGATCAAAATGTACAGCTTAGGGTCTTATTACCAATCATTGTGCCTGCCAAAACAAAGCCACTACTAATTCAGTTCTCCACTGGATTTAATCTTGTTTTCACATCCCTTTCTCTCAAAAGTGTAAAAAGGGCATGGAAGTGCATATCAAGCATTTTGATTTGATGAAATGTTATTTAAAAAAAAAAAAAAAAATACTGCAGGATTGGCATTGGAGAAAAAAAATGCAAAAAACATTTATCTATAGCAGGGGTAGGCAAAATGTGGCCTGCGGGCTGGATGCGGCCTGCCAGCCCATTCCCTCCAGCCCACAGGACACCTGAAAAATTTAGAAAATAATCTGGCCCACAGGACACCTGAAAAATTTAGAAAATAAATATTTATCTGCCCCTGGCTGCCTGTCATATGACCCTCAATGGCTTGCCAAAACTCAGTAAGCGGCCCTTCGCCCAAAATAACTGCCTGCCCCGATCTAGAGCACCATGTAGACGGAGAGGTTCCATCATATCCAGTTGGTCCATGAAGATGATTATCACCTTAAGCAATCCTTGCCACTTGCATACATCCCATCATATTTTAACATACATTTTTTTACTGATTAGAATTTCTTTATTTCTCACTACTTCAGGCACAGGTAAAGTGTTGTCATTCATTGTATGAAATACCATTTTCTTTTCCACTTTCACCACTTTTTCTGATTTTTTTTTTAAATGTGCTATGTTTGCTGTTTGGTTGATATAGTACACATTTACTGTATAGTTAAAATCAGCACTGTTTTAGGCATATAGCAGATCCTTTGTTTACTTATCGCTATGTGTATGTTCATTATATTATACTTTATGGTATTCTGGACATTTTTTTTTAATTCATTTTTATGTTGTCCTTTTCAACAAGGCTCAGAACATCTTACCATAAGAGGACAGAATAAGTTATAGAACAGGAATGTGACACAAGAGCAGAACAAAACAGAACTAGAATATCCAGGTAAAACAGCATCTCAGCCTACCTTTCTCTGCTAAATGCCTGCTCAGATAAGAAGGTCTTGCATCGCTTTCAAAAGATGTCTAGGCATGGGCTCTGGCGAGCCTCAAGAGGGAGGTAATTCTAGAGCTGAGAAGGAACCATGGACAACAGCTTCCCCCAAGCATTTTCCCCAAATGCACTTTGGTGTACTGATAGAGGTTGCAGACGGTTGATCCCAGCTGACCTTAGATGAAGAACAGAAATCCTTTTTCAATAAAATTCTAGGAAAGCAGATTAACTAAAAGTGACAGGGAACGAATGTATGAATGTGGAAATAAAACTACCCTCTCTCAAGCCAATGGCAAAAAAATCCAGCTTCTCCACAACAAAATGAGACATTTACCAGAAGAATTCTTTTGTTTAAGATGACAGCATTAGGAGCTATCAAATAATAATGCTAAAGCAAATTATTTCAAAACAACAAAAATTCCTACTTGCTGTGCAGTTTGCAGTGAATCATGAGAATGGCACCTTTTTTCTTTTAATTATTTCCAAAAACTACTAAAAAATACCCGCCAAACATATATCCATTATATCAAGAGAAACACCACAGACCCTTACCACAAGGTAAATTAATCTGGCTCTCATCATCTGGTCACAACATTTAAAGTTATGGTTTCCAAGGCAACCATAATGAATCATCTTTATACATAGCATTCTGTACTATTCTCTATGCTATCAAAACCATGCCTTGTATGGAACAGAAAAGATATTCAAGACATAACTTGTATATATACACAAGGTAGATAAGTTACAGAATCATAGAAAATTAGGGTTGTGTAAGGGATCTCAGAAGGTCATCTAGTCAAAGTCAAAGCAGGGCCATCCTCAACTAGATCATCCTAGCCAGGGCTTTATCAAGCTGGGCCTTAAAAACCTCCACGGATGGAGATTCCACCACCTCTCTAGGTAGCCTGCTCCAGTACTTCATCACTCTCCTAGCAAGTTTTTCCTAATATCCAACTTAAACATCCCTTGCTGCAACTTGAAACCATTGTTCCTTATTCTGTCATTTGCCACCACTGAACAGTCTAGCTCCATCCTCTTTGGAACCACCCTTCAGATCGCTGTAGGCTGCTATCAAATCCCCTCTCAGTCCCCTCAGCTTGCTTCTAAGAATGCTGTGGGAGACTGTATCAAAAGCCCTGCTACAGTAAAAGGATATTATGTCCACAGCTTTTCCTGCATCCACAGAGCCAGTTATCTCATCATAGAAGGCAAGCAGGTTGGTCAGCCGTGACTTGCCCTCGGTGAATCCATGCTGACTGTTTCTAATCACCTTCTTGTCCTCCAAGTGGTTAGAAATGGATTCTTTGAGGAGCTGCTTCATGATTGTTCCGGGAACTAAGGTGAGGCTGACTGGTCTGTAATTCCCCGGATCCCCCTTCTTAAAGATGGGCACTATATTTGCTCTTTTCCAATTGCCCAGCACCTCCCTGCATCGCTGCAAGTTTTCAAAGATGATAGCCAGCATCTCTGCAATCACATCAGCCAACTCCCTCAGTACCCTCGGATGCACTGCATCCAGCACCACAGACTTGTACACATCTAGCTTTTGTAAATAGTAATCTGTTCTTCCAACACTGAGGGCTGCTCACCTTATCCCCAAACTGCGCTGCATGGTTCAACAGTCTGGGAGCTGACCTTGCCTTTTTTACCCGTCTTCATAGGCATCGAGTACTTCAGCCTTTTCCACATCGTGTCACTAGGTTGCCTCCCCCATTCAGTAATGGACCCACGCATCCCCTGACCTTCCTCTTCTTGCTAACATACTTATAGAAACCCCTCGTTTCCCTTCACATTCCTTGCTAGCTGCAGCTCCAATTGCACTTTGGCTTTCCTGACTTCATCCCCGCATGCCTGTACTCCTCCCAAGTTGTCTGTCCAAGCTTCCACTTCTTGTAAGCTTCCTTTTTGTTTTTAACCTCACCTAACAGTTCTCTGCTAAGCTAAGCTGTTTGCTTGCCACATTTGCTATTCTTCCTGCACATCAAGATGGTTTGTTCCTGCGCCCTCAGTAAAATTTCTTTAAAATATTACTAGGTCTCCTGGACTCCTTTTCTCCTTGGACTAGTCTCCCAGGGGATCCTGTCCATCAGTTCCCTGAGGGAGTCAAAGTCTGCTTTTCTGAAGTCCATGGTCCATACTCTGCTGCTCTCCTTCCTTTCGTCAGGATTCTGAACTTGATCATCTCATGGTCATTGCTGCCCAACTCGCCGCCCACTTCTATGCAACAATTGCAGTGGGAGCTGTGACTGACTGGACATTTGAGTATTTAAATTGAATTATGAAGTGTTAATACGGGCAACATTTTTAAAAATTATTTTCAAAGTAGTAAAAATGAACAAGTGAAATCAGCACTAGCAAGATTCACCAGGGAGGTATTAGGTGGTTTTCTTCAGAATTTAGTTTGTGTACACACCACTTTCTACACAAGTATCATATTTACTGAAGTCCAAGATGAGTATTCCCCCCCCATTTAACACTGGGGAGTAGGGGGGGGGGGCAGAGGAGGCACCTCATCTTCGGTGGACGGCAGGCAGCAGCCACATTTCCAGCCCCAACTCAGGGTGAGTCAGAACCGCACTGCTGCTGCCTGACCCCCCACCTGACAGCCTCACCCCCCACCCCCCTCTGCAGTTGTTGCCAGGCTGCCACCAAGTGGGGGCTGCCCCAGGCTGGAGCAGGGATGGAACCTGTCAGCACCAGGAAAATGATAAGTATTGGGGGAGTGGGGGGGAGAAAACAGGCAGGGAAGGCAGATACAGCAGCAAAGGGGGTGGGGGGGGGAAGATTCTTACCACCCCCTCCCAAACCTGTCCCCCCTACCACAGCTCTTCCCACTGCAGCAGTGGTGGTGGTGGGATAAATTTAAGATGACCCTCCAACGATTAGATTCTATAAATGGAAAGTCTTCACAAATAGAGGTGCCATATCAGATTGGCACTGAAAAAAAAAGGAATATTAACATCATCATCAGCTGTTGGCTTTTTTTGGCCAGGTTAGCTGATAACGTACCAATAAATATAACGTGTCTTCTAGCTCGGGCCCTGGATGCCACATGTATGTACACGGACACAACATGCACATGGCCAGCAGCATAGCTGAGCAGTGTGGAGAATACACCCTGCAGGTAAGTCTATGGAGGGGAAGTGGTGTGGGGGAGGCAGAATGAGGCCTCCATGGTGAGGGAGGGAGTGGGTCAGGGGCTGCTGCCCATCCAGAGTGGGGAATTGGACCCAGGGCTGGGACAAGGAGCAGGACTGAGCCACAGGTGGTTCATCCAGAGGGCACAGGGGGGTGGGGGGAAGATTGAGGAGGGAGGGTGGCTCCCCACTGCTGCGCACACCCACAGGAGAGAGGCATGGGCCCCCTGTATGTGTGTGCAGGGCGAGGGTGGACATAGGCTGCCTGCTGCAGGCTCAGGGCTCTCAACCCTGCTGCAGGCTCAGGGCTCTCAACCCTGCTGCCCAAACATCCCCTGCCCATTTGGCAGTGGTGGCGAGTTGTACCTCCTGCTACCCACTGGACAGGGAATGCACACCCAGTGTGCAGCTCCCAGGGCAAAGGCAGCAGGGTGGAGAGCCCCGAGCCCACAGTAGGCATCCCACATCCACCTTTGCCCCGCTTGGCTCGTTAGAAGAGTCCCACACTTAAAAGTGGTGGTGGGGATGCTTGAACTAAAGCTCATTTGAAGAACTTCAGTTCAAGTGCCCCACTGCTATTTTTAAGTGCCGGGATGCTGATCCCCTGGACAAGCTGACTATGGCTGACCCGCTCCCTGCCCCATTCCCGGGGTCCCATTCACTGCCCAGGCTGAGCAGCACCTCAAACCTCTGCCCCACTTCCTCCCTGACCACGGGGGCCTCCATCTTCCTCCCCCCACCTCCCTATCCCCTTCCTCCCCCACAGACATACCAGCAGGGTGCTGCTCTCCACGCTGCCCAGCTGCATTCCTATAAATTGGTTATCAGATCAGTACCAGCCAATATGCTTGGTGAATTATTGGCATTGGCTAAAAGTCTTTATCAGTACACCCCTAATCACAAGTTAGTAAATTTTCCATGTTTAGAAACTAATTATTGGGGGGGGGGGTCATCTTAAATTCAGGGTAGTCTTGGATGCAGGTAAATGTGGTAATTAAATAGCTATGATTACGTCAACACAGTAAATGACTAAAAAAGGGTGTTCTTAGCATAAGGGTTGACCCATGCCTCTGACCACATTCTCAATTATCTCCCTTATATAGTCAGATACCCTCTTTGTGCAAGTTTTTCACAGATGGGGAAAAATAATTTTAAAAATTAGCATCAATACCATTGAAACTGGCAAGGAGAATTCAGGGAGTAAGTGTGGAACCTGAAGTTACATTATCTTTCAGAAAAACTGAATGGACCCATTCCCTTTCAATTCCTAACAAATATAGTCTTAGATAACCTGCTTAATGTTAACTAAGAGTAAACCTAGGCAGACAGATACACTTCTGGCCCAGTGATTCTCAACCAGGATGCCAGGGTACTCCGGTATACCACAAGATCCTTTGAAGGGTGGATCAAAAGTGTGAGCAGATAAGAAGGTGCAAAGAACTCAGCAGATAAGGGCAGGTACAGGCTCCAGGTGCCTGGAAATGAGCAGGTAAGGACAGGCAGATTGAACCCCTGCATTCCATTTACCTAAATCTCCTGCAAGGAGGTAAGCACTGTAATAAACCAATTAGGTTTTTAAATGGGGTGTCACAATTCACAAGTGTTATCAAAGGATGCCTCAAGTTTAACATTAAAAAAATGTTGAGAACCACTGTTCTGGAGCCAAGTAGAAATTTTCCAACAAAACAGTTTTTTTCACAGGAAGGGAGGCACCGATTAAAAGAAACAAAAACTTTTTGGCAGTAGCATTAGTTTTTACAAGGAGTTCAGCAGAAAGTTCTTTCAGGTTCAGAACAGAACTAGAAATGCCATGCCAGAACAGTCGATAGCCCAATGACTAGGACTTATATTTGGGGATGTTGAAGATGTATTCAGAACCCTGTAGACAGCAGTGAATCCCATCAATTCCACACAGCTGCTGAGGAGAACTACCAACAGCAGCTGAGACAGACTGAGTTATTCAGATGAGGACCTCCCAGAAAACAAAGGGTAGGAATGAAATAGAATAGAGATTCTCTTCTCCTGTTTCTCATGGGCTGCTGAAACAAATTAAAACAACCCCCAGAAGTTCTTCTCTGTAGATATTTACATGGTTCCTGTCTGTATAATGTATTAATATTTGGGAAGAGCTAATAAATGCATTAACTCCAGCAGGGAAAGGTTAAGTGACCACCCTAAAGTCACACACACCTGAAACAAAACCAGGAGTTAAGGGCTACAAAGAGATCTGGATTTAACTCTGAGATGATCCTTCAACAGATAAAGATTAAATAGCTTGATGAAGCTCTTTCATAAACAGTGCAAGTCACATTCTAATCCAAGAACTGGAGCAAAAGACTGAGTTTGTTGTCAGAAACCAGGGACATCCTCCAGGTACAAATCCCAGAGTTTCTCTCTTTCCCAGCTTTCATGTCTACCCTTGGGATAATAAGATTGGCAGAATTTTCAAGCACCATTTCAACTGCAACAGATATTAACCACTAATAAGGAAAAATTTTGATCAGTCTAAGCTGGTACGACAAACATGTTTAAGGGTTGAGAGGAAGTTACTGAAATTTGTTATAATGCAAGAATCGAATATAGAGGGGGGAAATACTGACATCTATAATATACGTAGTCAAACATAACTTTGATGGAGCAAAGTATTAAAGCCTAAAAAAATTAATGTATTATTCAAACAAACATCCCACCATTCTTGAACGCCCAGTTCCATTCCATTCTTAATGGGTTCATAGAATGCATTCATCACTATAGCACGTAAGCACATTCTGGTAATGTTAAGCAATTTACCTAATAAGAGTCACTTGTTGCTAGTTCCTGTATCATGTTCAGCA